ACTGTGAAAATTCCAAAATCCAGTTTGCAAGGGGAGTGTTCTTGCAGGAATAGGCACATGTGAGCACAGGGGTGGGAAATGTATGTAACAGCATAACAGTAACATGAGCATCATCTTCCAAATATGACGAATTTAATTTTTTTTCTATTGCTTAATTTTACAAATCTTATTAAATCATACATGTATTTGTAAGGGAAATCCCATGAGCTCAAGTACATCTCTTAATTCAAAGGCATAAGTGATGTTTTGAAAGCTTTGGTAAATGAACTAGACAGTGCAGTGCTTTTCGGAAAACTTTCAAAACATATAATGAGTAACCATACATGAAGAAATGTAAGAGCAGTATAATATGTTTTAAGTCTGATATGTTCTAAACAAAACCTCAAACAATTACTGCTGTTTGTACATTCCTGGAGCGCATTTCTCAAAATATTTTCAACCAGTTGGAAAATGAAATAAGATTATTATATTGTTTGATTTGATCATTCATTAGCATGGAGAGAATGATGGACCCATTGAATTTTAATGTTTTTTTTTTTTAACTACTAAAATGTTTAGCACTGTTAAGTTATCTTTAAAAGCTTTAATTTCAAGCCAGTGTGTAGTATGGAAATCCTGTGTTGTGCTTAATGAGTTATTTTTTTATTCATTCAAAATAGACTTATCAGGAATGAAAGGTTTTGTTCAGTATAATGATCATTATTAGATTATTTTAGGTAGGTAATATTTGAATTTAAGTACAAAAAGCATGGAAGTCCTGTGTCTTTGTGACTTACTGTAGTCTCTCATTTATGTTGTTTTGGTTTGTTGATGACTGTTAATTTTGCTGATGACTGTTTATTAAAATTGGATGGAAAATAATAAAAAATGACACCAACAATTTGACAATGAATAGTGAAACTCCATCCCTCTCTCACTGTAGGATAGTACTCATTGATAAAAGGATGGACCTGATTAATTGTGATTAAAGCTGACTAATTTGAGAGAATAAGAGTTAATTTGAGCGTACATGTTTAAGTAAAATGATACTGCTGCTCATTATGGAATACAGATCACAAAGCTGAGATGTATAACCCTCTCTTTTTTGGGATGACTTTTGCATTCGTGATTTTTAGATAAATATCAGTGCAAACATAATTATATATTTCTAAGCGTATAGGTGCTGTTAACAAAACAGCCCGATGTAAGCTAACGATTAAAGACTTCGTGATCTGCAAAACAACGCAACACCATTTTCGCATGTGAGGTAATAATTAAAGCACAATATTTAATAGTGTCGAAACAGTCGATGATTCTACAGTTTGGTTTAGAATATTGGACGCTGAAAACTGTACCACTTTCAAGATTTATTTACAACACATTGTTAGAAAGCTCGCTTTTTGAAAAAAAAAAACAAAAACAAAGAAAACAGACAAACAACAAACAAACAACAATGGTGATATGATAAAAAAAATTAAGTAGGAATCAATTTGAATCAATTCGAACCTTTATTCTGGTCAGGTAAGACATTAGAGAATTATAACACATGTCAGATTCTGGCAAGGCTCGATTCCCAACC